TGGCGAACTGCCTGGTGGTGAGCTACCTTGATGAGCTTTGTTGCTCTTTTAGAGGTCTGCAAGGAACCAAATGTCAGAGGACCCGGGGTGGCTAACCCAGCGAGGTCACTCCGATGCCTAAGTTAGCACTTAGTGGAGAGCTGAGAATGATATTATAGAGTGAGAGAGCTAGAGTGTAGAGGTTACCCATCCTCTTTTAGCATACCTTTTCCCCTAGGGGGTGAGGTCATTATATAGTGGAGTCCTCGCGGGTTTGGTGGAGCAGTTCTTGGATTCCCGCTGTGATAGGACCTGCTTTCGTGTTAAGTGGGGATAAAGCCATCAATTGGTAAGGTTTCCCATTTCCGCCTGACTTGGGGAGTGGGTGAGCTAATATAGCCGTTACAAGTCACAATCCTCGGGGTTGTCAGGTTGGTGCCTGTGTCAGGCCGCCAGGTTGGTGCCTGGGCCAGGCCGCCAGCTCGTGCCAGGGCCAGGTCACGCTAGGGCCAGACTGCCAGCTCGTGCCCAGGCCAGGTCACGCCAGGGGCAAGCTGTTAGCTTGTGCCAGGGCCAGGTCGTGCTAGGGCCAGACTGCCAGCTCGTGCCAAGGCCAGGTCGCGCCAGGTCTAGGCCGCCAGGTCGCGCCTGTGCCAGGCCGCGCCTGTGCCAGGCCTCGCTTGGTGGGACACCATCAACTTAACAAAGGCAAGTTATTGCCAAAGTGGTCCTGGGTATCACCTAGTTGTTCTGAGGTACCAGGTGTCACAATGTCACTGGAGGGCCAAATCCACTCTCATCAAATATCAATGAAATGTTTTACTCTACGTCTTTTCTCCTTCACTTTGCTTCCGGTTTATATCATTTATCAAGTTACTAATTATCATCATCTAAGCCTACAAGCAAAGTTGTAAATTTGTAGATATTGTTGTTGTTGGTGGTCACCAGTGATGGCCAATGGTGGATACCTCATTTTTCTATTTTGTAGTGAAAAAATGAAAAGCTGTAATACATTCGGACAGAACAATCATCGGCACGGAAGGAGGTGTATTCTGATATGAGAGATGAAGATGAAAGGAGATGTATCTTAAGAGTGGGACGAAGCGGGCATGGGATTTAGGCTTTTTCTGAGTGAAATTGGGAGCTAACGGGATGAGCTAAGGTCCGTCCCGTTAGCTCCTCATTAGTTAATGAGTGGCGTGTGTGGGAAGACAAGTGTCATGCTTTCATTGTGTGGGGTGTCTGTGGGGCGTCGGGTTGTGGGGTGCTAATGCGAACCCCCATCCCCATCTAATGTAATGAAGATCAATGAGTCCAAATGGATGGAGGTATATTCCTTTTATTTTCTTTGAAGGGCTACACAATGGGGTAGCCCATCCCCCAACCCATAACCTCTCCAACCCAGGTGCAAGCGGGACCCCAAGTCTCCGCTATGACCAGTAGTAGACCTTACCAACCAGATGATTGGCACCAATGGATGGTGGTGTTAACTAGGCAAAATTGGCACTCATTTCATAATTAGGATGAGGGGGTTGCTGCATTTTCTTTTTCTTCATCTTCTTCTTCTTTTTAAAAAAGGGGAAATTATCAAGTCCCTTGTACTATGGGGTAAGTGACAATTACTACTTTGCACTATGGGGTAGGGATGCAAACGGATCAATCAGATTTGAATTTGGGTATCCAAGTCTGATCTAATAGTATAAATAGTAGATCCAATTCGGTCCAAAGTTCCAATTAGATCTCACAAACACTGATTTGAATTTGAATCTGTTAGGGTGTCAGATATTCAATTATGATTTGATCCAATTTATTTCTTGAAAAAATTAAAAATATAATAGTTTATATAATGAAAAGCAAAAAATACAAGCATTTTTTCAACTATTTTCATCATATATACATGTTTTTAATAAAATAAATATAAAAATTACAAAAATGCAATATAAAACATATTTATAAATAAATAAATAACATTTGATCCAATCCGATCCAAAAATTTGACAGGAGGGTATCCAAATCTAACAAAATACTATCGAATCTTGGATCGGATCGAATCATGATTCAATCTATTTGCACCCGTACTATAAGGTCAATGACAATTACCTCTAGAACTTTCATTTGCGACAAAGACCCCCCTGCCCCCCAAACTTTCACTTTGCAACAAATAAGCCTTAGTTGTTAAGTCAGATGACAAAATATGTTAAGTTACCAAAATACCCACATGAAATTTCCTTATTTTCTTTTCCTTGCCCTATTCTCTTAAACCCTAACTGACAAAAAAATATCTTCATTTTCTCTAACTAAAACCAACTAAAATAACAATAATCATTTCACTAACATAGAAAAACAAGTTTCTTTAAATTCTTGTTTCATTTCACTGACAAGAATGTCTCTCTTCATCTTAAAATATAAAAATTATCTACTCATTTATCTAATAAATTAAGAAAAAAACCAAACAAAACCTTAAATTTATATCTATCAGAAAGAAATCTTTATTAGAGCAACCAAGAGGATTTCAATGTTATATTTAGAAAATTAATTAAATCATAAATAGTTCAAATAAATAAGAAAATGATAATTTGGGGACTTAATGGGAAGGGATACAAATACAAATATATAGAGAGCAAAACCTTATGTTTTGTATTTTTTGTATGTATTTGTATTTGTACTCTTTCCAAACAGAACCTAACATATGAAACTCTAATATAAGGGGTACTTGTCGCAAAGGAAAATTAGGGGGATCTTTGTCACAAATAAAAGTTCAAGAGGTAATTTCCACTAACCCATAATAGAGGGGTCTTTGTTACAAAGAGAAGTTAGGGGGTAATTGTCAGTGACCACATATTACATGGGGTCGTTGTCGCAAATGAAAGTTTAGAGGTAATTGTAATGTTGTAAATAAAATAAATATATAATAGAAATTGCTTACCAAAAAGAAGTATGTATCCATATATCTATAATAAAAGAGAGTTTCACGCTCTCTCTCTTTTCATCTTTTGTCAATGATATAACTTTATTTTTTTTAATTTTATTCTTATACATTTTTAATTTCTTCTATTTTCCCAACTTTATCCTTATTTAATCATGATGACATCTAATTCTCTCATATTTATTATTAAATATTTAACTATTTACAATTATGCCACCATGTAAAACAAAATGATGAGGACAAAAGTCATCTATCTCTTGTTCATTCTCTCTCTCTCTCCCCTATATTTAGGGCTATCAACAAGTTGGGTCTGGTTTGGGATAGCTTGTATTCTTGTCCTAACAAATCTTTATTTATTTATTTTATTAAATTATCTCTCCCATTCTCTCTCTAACTCTTTGTCTCTCCCAACCTTATATTTAGGGCTGTCAATGGATTGGGTCTGGTTTGTGATAGCTTGTACCAGTTCTGTTCTAAACTCCCAAGAAACTTCTATTTATTTATTAAATTATCTCTTCCGCTCTCTCCCTCTCCTCGAGCCCAATATTTAGGACTATCAACGGGTCAAGTCTAGTTTGGGATAGCCAATACCATCTTGTTCCAATAAACTTCTATTTATTCATTTCATTTATTTATTATACTATATGAATTATTATCTATAATTTTTTATTTATTTAATTTACTGAATCATTTATTTAGAAATAATTTCCCTAAGCCCAATATTTAGGGTTGTCAATGGGTCGTTCAAGATAGCTTGTACTAGTCCCACCACAATATTTTTTCATTCATTTATTTATGTTGTTAAATTAAATAAACTTTTATTTATTTAATTTACTAAATTATTTGTTTATTCTTAGTTTTCTCTCTCTGTATCTCCCCTAGCCCTATATTTAGGGCTGTCAACGGGTTAGTTCTAGTTTGGGATAGCTTGTACCAATCCTGTCCCAATAATAAATAAACTTTTTATTTATTTTATTAAATTAAATAAATCAGCTGCCACATGTTATTCTTCAGATAGAATCGATATAGTAGTTTTCAATTGGATACCTCTGTGGCAGTGCTATTTATTGGTTATTTTATGATTTTCTCAAAAACTTTTTATTGTTTTTATTGACTTTTATTTTTATATAATAAAAATGAAAATCAAGAGAACCTTGTCTCAGAATTTATACATGGCAAGCTCAGCATTAATTAATGTTGACAACTTTTGATTCAAATGATTGTAAGAAGAAAATTAAAACAATATTTTGCTAATTTCCTAGAGAAAGAGGGTGATTGTGGATAATTGTTAGGAATGGGAGCCACTCCCTGTCCCTATCTCTGTGAAAATCCTTATCTCTGTCCCCATTGGCGGGGACAAGATTATCCCCATACTCTTGGGGATTCCCACTCCTCGTGATTTTTCTATGATGTCAACCATTTTTGTGTTTTATTTCATACATACATACATACATACATACATATATACATACATAAGCGGAGATCCCCATGGGGCGGGGATCGGGGGCCCAACGAGTCTCACCGTCCCACCCTGTCTTCTCCAATGAGGATAAAAATTTCCCTATCCCCATCTTTGTGGGGAAAAATCATCCCCATCCCTACTTCATTCGGGACAGGTCCTTGCAGGGATTGGGGAAATGAGGAAAATTGCCATCCTAATAACGATCATTATATTATTAATTTCCTATAAAAACATTTTTTTTTTATTTTCTCATTGCATATATTATTATTATTATTTATTATCAAATCACTCATTTGTACCTTTGTAGCTAACAAGAGAAAAATTTATGAGAAAGTAAAAAGTAAAAGACAAATAATGCTTATCCAACTAACCAAAAGTGATTTTACACTCTCTAAATTCTTTTTTTTTATATATTATTGATAATTATTGATTAGAATAATTATCATGTAATCAATTATTCTTAAAATTTGTAATAATCTTTGTTATGAAAAAGATCTAATTTTTATAATGTGAATTTTTTCTTGAATTTATTTAAAAAAATTATTTTTCAAATTAATTTACTACTTCATATATATTTCAACCTTAGAAAAAAGCTTTCTACTGGTCTTCAACTCCGACCGCTAAAATCTCGCCGGACGAAAAAAATGAGACCACAAATTCAATAGACTTACACGGGTAGAGAAATCTCCATCATCATAACGTTTATGTTCAGGTTCTATCCATCCGATTGTTTCCACTCTTCTTCTCAGACACAGACATTTCTCTGTAATAATAGAGAAAATAACATACACGCTTCTACACAAAGTTGATAGAAGTATTCTTGTTGACAAGTCTGGTATTTGATCCTTCTTTTCCTAATTATAATTGTATTTGTCTCTGGTGCTTCTTCTTCTTCCTTCTGTCCTGCATCCTTTTATTTTTTCCACTCAATTCATGAGGAGCTTGACATGGCAAAATTTGAGAAATAAACAGCTACGATGATCATGCACTGCAAAGGAGACAACAACGATCCCAGTCCGAGAGATCCCATGCACCATGGATGACAAGCTACCTGGGTCTCTCGGTACAAGCACCAGCTTGTCTCTGCGATTGGGACAGGTCATCTTCTCCTCTGCCTCTCTTCTCTTCATGTCTTTGGGTGTCGAGTTCTATGGCTTCACCGCTTTCTGGTACTCCATCCCCAATCCTTGCTTCTTTATATGCCATGCTTAATTGCTTTGGATCGTTAACTTCTGTTGCTGATTAGAGCACCAGTCCAATAGAAAGATGGCGAGAAAGAAAGAAAGAAAGAAAGAAAAACACAAACTTCGGGGTTTGTGTGTTTATAATTTGCCTTAGGCTACATTATGGAGATGACATTAGGAAATAAACTCGTAGATTTACTGCTAGGTTCGCTTTTTTGATCAATGATGTTAGACTTTATATACTTTGTTAAATAAACTGTCTATTGTCGTATAGGATTCTGAAATAATTAATCAATCATCAATTAGAAGCTAAGACAACTTCATTCTTTCTGCAAGAAAGAGAAAGCTAATCGATTAGAAATTAAAGATTTTCAATTACAGGCAGCAGTCATAGAGGAAAGAATGAAATCAAATATATAATTAAGACCGTACTTCATTTCCAAATTGCTCGTCTGGTGAAAAGCTTAAATGCAGAGTGAAGGGCTAAAGTGAAGAAGATAAGTTTTTGTTGATTTAGTTCATGTGTAGCTGATGATCAATGGAAAACACACAAAACTAAAACCTGCCTGAAGAAATAGGTATAAGAAGACAGAGATACCCTATTATAGATATATATTGTACATTTTCTTTTCGGGAACTGCTTTGGAGGAATTAAACCAGTCAGATTTATTGCATTTCTTATCAGTCACATTCAGCATGAGATCTTAAGAATCAAGTTTCCTCGACCCTCTTCAAATTTGGGCTTGGGGTTTCGGTCCAAGTTTGTGGCATGCAATCCCCAAGGTTTTCAATTTGCAAATGCAATATTGCATTTATCATGACTTCATTTATGCAGCTCATGGAAGTTAAACACAGATACATTCAGCAAGATCAAACTTCTTTCTTTCTCAAACAAGCATAAGAAATCACTCTACTGAACAATAGTTGGTTAGAGGACCTAACTTGTATCAGAACTCAAAATTGGACATTCAGCTAATAATAATTTTCTTTTCCCTGAAACAACTTCATGTGAAATATCTGGCAGCTTCTTGGTAACAGCCATGGGTTTGGTAATTCCATGGAGTTTCACATTGGCAATGGTGGATGGATACGCAGTCATTATGGGCTTCCCTTTTCGTCAACCAGGAATTCTATTGGTCATAATTGTAGGAGATTGGGTATGTATCCTCTGTTTAGTGTTCAATGATCTGACCATCTGATCCTTATCCACCATTTGTTGTGACTTAAAAGTTAATTCTGTCCTTCACAGGTACTGTCATTACTCTCATTAGCAGCAGCTTGTGCAGCAAATGGTGTTATCAGTTTCCTTCTTGACAGAGGTGGAGTTTACAACCTGCCAAATATTGGTGGTAGATATCAACTGTCTGTTGCAATGGCCTTCTTCTCTTGGTTTCTCTCTGCGGTTTCCTTGTTGTTCAACCTTTGGCTGCTCCCATCCCTGTGATTCACATCCTGCTCTTCAAGTAGGCACTATTTGAAGAATTAGAAAATGTGCTGATCGTATACTAATAGTGTTCAGGTCAATTATCTGAAGCTAAAGCTATTCTTCCATGAAGGAACTGCAAGTGGGTGAAATAGTTACTTCAAAGTTCTTATAATTTGTACAGAAATAACCGAAAAATATGACAAGAATGAAAATCAACTCTTTGTGACAATCATGATGTGCCATCTCTCAATTGGTGAGAATTTGAGTATTGGTATGCCCTCTTGGGCATCTCACTTCTGAAAAAAGGCTTTAAATGGTCAATATTCAATTATCATCAGTTGCAAAGTTCTTACAATTTGTACAGAAATAACCGAAAAATATGACAAGAATGAAAATCAACTCTTTGTGACAATCATGATGTGCCATCTCTCAATTGGTGAGAATTTGAGTATTGGTATGCCCTCTTGGGCATCTCACTTCTGAAAAAAGGCTTTAAATGGTCAATATTCAATTATCATCAGTTGCAGCTCAATAACTGAAACCTGCAATTTGGAATAGTATATATCATGGAATTTTACTTTCTTGCCAATACTTCAGGTCTTTGCTTACTGTCATTAAATAAGAAACTTGCAGCAGGAACCAAGGTATATATTGGATATGACTTGAATGACAATAAGGTCAAAAGCTGCATTTGGGATGAGAACTCGGACACTGTGCCTACTCGCTCTCAATCAAACCTGCTGCTGTCATTCCATATACTGCAGCACAAACAAAGTGCAAAATTACAGAAGTTGTTTACAAGTAATAGTAGAAAAGAAGCTGCATTTGGTAAGCCAAATTTTCTAAATAGAAGTTTTGCTTATATCTAACACATGTTACACAGTGAAATGGAAGGAGTAAAAAATGGTATCCTTTTTATATGGTCATTGCCTAATAAAATTACCAATGTGTTGCATATGGGTGGGAGATCTGGTTTAGGTCTATATCATTCTCTTTTATGTGGCTGTTCCCCCTCAACATTTTCCTTTTTGCAGTTTTTGACCCAAAGAACCTCCTCTTCCTATATGGGATGCAGTTGAACTTCAGTGATGCATTCATTGGTGGCGCGCGCACAGATTCTCATTCAAGAATCCAAGAGCTACTCAAACTTGTGGTTGTGGCAAATCCTTCACTGCCTAGATGTAAGATCATATATATGCAAGGTGTCGACTGGTTGGTTGGTAAGGTCTCCTGTTGGTTGTATCGGAGACTTGGGATTGAATCCCGCCTGCACCTGGGTTGGGGGATGGGCTACCCCCCTGTTCCTAAAGTAGATACTGTTGAAGAACCGAAGGATTTCCGGCCAATTGGACTGTGTAATGTGCTTGACCAAAATTTTATTCAACAGATTCAAGCCCTTATTGCAGAAACTCATCAGCTCTTGCCAGAATGCTTTCACACTGGGGGCGGGTTATTACTGACAATAGTGTTATAGCTCAAGAGGTTATTCATACTATGAAAAAACAAAAGGGCAAAATTAAAAGCCTATGATAGGCTTGAATGGCAATTTGTTCTACATACTCTTGCTTCTCTGGGTTTTGCATACCAGATTTTTGTGAACTCATTTATCATTGTATTTCATCTGTTAATATGGCTGTTCTACTCAATGTTAAAATCAATCATCTAGCTGTTTTTTGTCGATGACATGATGTTCTTTGGGAAGTGTTCCATGCGAGAGGTGCGGTGTATTCAAGAACAACTTATTCTCTTTAGTAAGTGGTCTGGACAGCAGATTAATTTTGACAAATTGGCCATCTATTTCAGCAAAAAAATACAATGAGAAGATTGCGAACTAGAATAGCCACTCATTTGAATGTGCATCAAATGCAATTAAATGATAAATATTTGGGGAGCCCCATGTTCTTTGAAAGGAGCAAATGTCAAACTTGGTCACACCTTGTTGAGAAGGTCAAGAAACAAATTAGATGGGTGGAAGATGAAATTATTATCTCAAACAGGCCGTTCTATCCTTACTAATTCCACATTATAGAAGCAATGCCTACTTATCACATGAAGAGTTTCCAAATGCCCAAAACAATTTGTAAGCAAATAGATAATATTTTGTAGAGATTTCTGGTGGGGGCATGCATTTGATGTTCGAAAACTTCATGGGATTCCATTTCTGACGAATAATAATGCATTATGGGCTTAAATTCTTCAAGCTAAATACTTGCACAATAACTCTATCATCACCGGGGTATCTCCACTATAGAAAGGTATTCTTCAAAGTCAATCACTCCTCAAAAAGGGGATTTAATGGATTGTGGTAATGGCTGGGACATAGATTTTGTCCATGACCCATGGTGTGAACCAGGTTTGTCTTTACTTGATAGCACTCCACTAGAGGACGGGTTTGGCCGTGTAGGCAACTTCATACACCCTAGCTCTAATACCTGGAATACTGAACAATTAGCTCAACTGTTTAGTTGAGCGTTTCCACCATTTGCATGTAGAGCACAAACATTCTTAAAAGTAAATTATTAAATTTACTTAATTAACAATTAATTGTCTACAAGAACTTGTACTTTGAATAGCAATAAACTGACAAATCTAATATATATATTCCCGATTAGTAACTTGTACTTTGGGCCTAGTGCCACTTTTCTCCCTGAACTTTAAAATGCGACAATTCAGTATCCAAACTTTTAAAATGTGGCAATCCAGTACCGACTGTTAACTAGTTGTTAATCAGCCGTTAAGTAGCATTTAAAAAAGACATAAATGTCCTTTAATTGTTATTTAATTTTCTTTATCAACCATCTAAATGTTGACAAAAAATTAACAATCTCAAATCTTTGCCTTTTTCATTCAAGAAAGTTGGGGTCACGGTTGAGTGGGCATTCTAGTGACTCCAACTTTCTTGAATAGAAGAGGAAAGGATTTGAGACTATTAATTTTTTTTTTGTCAATGTTTGGATGGTTGATAAAGAAAATTAGATGACACTCAAAGGGTATTTGTGTCTTTTTCAAATGCCACTTAACGACTGGTTAACCGCTAGTTAACAGTAGGTACTGGATTATCATTTTTTGAAAGTTCGGGTATTGAATTGTTGCATTTTAAAGTGCGGTGACCAAAGTGACACTAGGCCCAAAGTACAAGGTACTAATCAAGATACATGGCAATCTTCGGGATATAGCCTCCCACCATTCAGACACACGATCTTCTCATTTTTTTGGAAATCTAGATACATGGCATTTTCTGAGAAGTTGCTGTTAAAGCCCACAACCCACTACCACCATTCAGAAAAGTGGCATTCTCATTTTCTAGAAAGCTAGATACATAGTAATTTCTGAGAAATTCCTGCTAAAACCCACAACCCACTACTAGGCTACAGCCCCCCACCATTCAGACATGTGGCCTTCTCATTTTTTTGGAAAGCTAGACATGTGGCATTTTCTGAGAAGTTGCTGCTAAAGCCCACAACCCACTACCACCATTTAGACACGTGGCATCCTATTAATTTAAGAAATAGGATTCAAAAAGTGAATAGTTTCACTCCTAAACATTCTTAATAGACAATTATTTATTAGCTTAACACATGTTTATCCATAGTCTATTAAATACAAATGGTGGGACCCATTAAAAGATTACCATAAACCCACGTTTGTTTTAAATGATTTTTTTTCAAAAAGATTATACTTTATTAATTACAGACTTGATTTAACTTTTAGGAAGCAACTTAATTCAACTTTTAAAAATAAATAACTCAAAATAGATTTATTAGATAAATAGTAAATACCAAATAAAGTTGGTTATTATTTACCAATAAGATCTCATTTAATATCTTAAATCAAATTAAAAAACATAAATTAATAGTGGGTTTCAAATGAAATAGGTCAGAATAGATTGTCAATTACAAAGATGCAAGACCTATATTAGTTTTTTTTTTAATTTAATTTTTGATTACTAAATAGTAAACTTCAAACTAAATTATATACACATTTAGTTACCCCGTACTTAGTACAGGGTCATTCTCTAGTAACATTGTAAAGCCAAGCCTGAATCCCAACCTCGACCCATGTGAACAAGTCTATGTGGAGCCATCTTATAGATATATCAAAGTAGTTTTAGACTTTTAGAAACCCCAAATACGTGTAAAGTGGTAACCAGATTATCAAAATTCTCAAAGGGATTTTGATTGATCAAAGCTTTTCCGATATCATGTTTTTGTAATAAAATAAATTTTTCCATACATTTGGTTTGTGGGATTAGAAGGGAAAAATATTATTAAATATTCTTTCCTTTTTCATGTTTGGTTTGTAGGATCTAGGATGTTATAAGATGGGATGGAAAAAAAGGTAGGACTCCATATCTTAGTTTTTGGGATATAGAATATCCTCTGTTTTGTGGGAAACAAGTGGGAAAGGAAAGAAAAACTTGTTTAACATAAAAACCATGAGATCATATTTGCACCTCATAGAGCACGCCTCACACCAACCTCGTAGTGCATCAGGTGTGGATTGAGAATGTAACATCTCCCATACATGATGTTATCATTCACAGGAAGATGTTCCCAAGGCACTACTACAATGCACTGTAAGAATGGTGTGAGATGTGCTTTGTGAGGAGCAAATCCAAACTCAAAATTAGACGCATGACTCATTAATAAATTATTACTTATTTAATAACATATTAATAAAATAATTCAATTAAAATTAATTTAATAATTATTAATATTAATTAAATAATGACTAATATGTAATTAATCATTGATAATAAAACATTAAATAATAAAAAATATGGATAATTAATTAAAATAATTAACAATAAAAATAAAAATATTAATTAATTCATAATAAATATTAATAAAATAACAAATTAACTAAAATTGAAATATTAATTCATAATCAATAATTTATTAACTAATTATCAATATTAATTAATTAATAGTAAACATAAAATAACAAAAAATAATCACCATTGAATTGAAGTTGGTTTTCCTATTATTTTCCCTTCAACCAAACAATGAAATATGAAAAATTTCTCTCCATTTTCTCTTTATCCTTCCATCCCATCGCATCCCACCAAAATTTCTCTGGAACCAAACGCAGTTAAACATGAAAGAAAACAACGACAAAATACAATCGTGAAACCGATAAAGCCAAAGTGGGAGGTATTGGCACTAAGGAGAACTCATGGCTTCTTCACTCCCAAACCTCTGTTGCTGCTCTCCGTCTATCACCATCACATCCACCACTACCCGCTTTACATCGTCTTTCTCGCCGCTCATCCCTCGTGGGTCCCATGAAATTGGACTGCGCTTTGCTCGTTCCGACTTGCGCACCTCTGCTAAGTTCGAGAAATTCCAAGGTGAAGGTCCCGAAGGCAGTGTTGATGACAACCCATCACCTCTTTTAAAGACCCAACAACCAGTTCAAGGAGAAGAAGAAGAGGAGGATGACAGGTTCTCTGATTTCTTTTTTTAATCTCTTTTCTGCTCCTGCTCGAATTCAGCCATTATCCTGTTGAATGTGTGTATATATGCTGGTATTCATTTTGATCTTTTTTTGGTTATAAACGGCCGGAAAAGAACCAAATTTGATTTCTAATTTGTAAAAAAAAATCATGGTTTCCAATTGATTAAGAAGCCAAGCTCTAGCAATGGCTTATGAGGAATTGTAGCTACTCTCCTGCTGAAAAGGGGATAGAAGACTAAATTTGTTTATGAAGTTGTACTTTCAATATGCAATTAACAGGTAGAGTTTGATTTTTTCCACCCACCATGTTGAAATTGAGTAGTTGGGTTGTTGGAAAAATGACAATTTAATTCAGAGAACTTGCAATTCTGTATTTCTCTTTTAATGTTCGGGCGTCTCATATTGTGTTATTATACCTAAAGAAGGATTATGATGGGTCTCATATTATGTTTTCAGTTGCTTACCTTCTGACTTGGAGGGTGCAGTAAGGCAATCAAGTCAAGCAAGTGCCATCTTTGTATCTTCTGGAGGGATGAGAGCAATAGTAAGTCTTATTCTTCAAAAAAAAAAAAATTAATTTGGAGTAATGTGTATGTTTGTTTGTTTTTTTGCGAAACCACATGAGGTTCAGAAATTGGGATCTCCCCAAATCTAGAATGGTCCATGTTCTTTGCTTGGTTCTATCGAGGGCTTGTCTTCTTGGCCTTGAAATGGCTATCCGTGCATGTGAATAATTTAATTCCAATATAGTCTGGCTTCTCTTTGCTTATTTTGAACTTTATTTCTCCATTATGGCCTTTATAGCAGTGTAATAATTGATATTTAATGCCTTCACATACCATTTCAAAGATTTGGCTAATTTCAGGCATCTCCATGATGAAGCCTCAGTTTACTTGTCAGCTAATACCTCCAAAATCAGGTTTTAAGTAGTCACACTGATTCACATATTAGAAAACCAAAACCAATGGACTAAGGCCACCATGGTTCCTAGCATTCAGGTGGCCACAAGTGTCTGGCAAGTCAGCCTCTAGAAGTCATGGCACAGAGACACTAATGTAATTAAGTACCAAATTGTATGTGTAAATAAAATATAGTAAAAATAAGAAAAAAAATTGAAGAAAACTATGGAGAACTGAAGTCTTGACACCTTTGGATGTCCTTTCCCATGAAATCTTATCTAAAAGAAGCTAGTCCCAAACTTCTTGCTGACTTCGGCTTGGTGAATCATCATAATGTTCTTTTTATGAGCTTTTTATTTCTGAACCTTGCTCTTTGACTTGTTCTCTTTGTAAATACTATATCATGCTCATTTTTTTTTGTATGCATGTCTCTATATGTGTGTGTATGTGTAGGTTGAGCTCTTAATCCCACAGTTGCAATTTCTTGATGATGAAGGGGCCCAAGCTGAGCTCTGGGAATTGTCAAGGATTTTCTTGGATACTCTTATTGAAGAAACAGGATGCCAGGTAAGGAAGAGTGTTGCTTTAGGGTTTTGCATATCAGAAAAGGAAATCTATTAATGAAGAAAGAGGCAAAATAAGAAAAAAGATGCATAGAAACATCAGGATCTACCAACTCCCAAGGGGGAAGGGCTAACCTGAAGGCTAAGAAACCATAACTCCAATCAAAATATCATTAACAATAGGGTTTATTGATGTCTGGATCTGGTGGAGTTAGATGTTCACTCTGGTGACGACCAGCAATCTAGCCTTTCCAATGAAATGACAGTAACAAGGGCCTTTACTATCACCATTCATCCAAATATATTACCCCACTTGAGAGTCTCCCTCAACCATACCTGAGTTGGGGATCATATGTTAAATCAGGTTTACATCTTTTATGGATAGTATCTGTTGGGGAAAGATCTTCATGGATAAGCAAGTACAAGTTCCTACTCTTACAAATTAGCTATCTACACTGCAACTGCTTATAATCCTGTCATTTGTAGAAAGTAAAAGCCATCTTCCCTGATGCTGGAGCAGCTGCACTTCTTAAATATCGGTGGAAAGATGCAGCTTTTGGATTTTCCAGGTATCCTCCATCTTTTAGTTGAATTTCCATTAAGAAATTCGGTGACCTTTCTTCTCAAACATCCAACAAAGCGAGGTGCATGTTGTTGTTTGTTTTCCTCATTTTTAATGATTTTCCTTTCATTTTTTGTGCTAATTATGTTCTGCATTGCATGTTTGCAACATTTAGCTTTGACATCCCCAGATTGCCTATTTTATCAGTTAAATATGAGACATATAAACAATATTCTTTGTCACAAAAGTGCTATGGTGATAGAGTTGTTGCATTAGATTATTACAATTGAAAATTCAGTTCCCTAACTTCCATTCTACAGTTTCCTTCATTTATCTTCTTTTCTTTTTTTCCCCTTGGGGAGGAGAGGGTTTGACTGGGGCTTTATAATGGCTATGAACATCCCATGTACAACCCTCTCTACCCAACCCACATTTAGCCAAAGTATCTGTTATAATCCATTGGCATCTATCTTAAGGACACTGAGCAGGTCCAATGGCTATGAATTTCATATCATTGGGGGCGGGGGTGGTTCACTAGGGCATTAAAATTGCTATGAGCTTCATTTCTCTATGTGGTAAGCCAATTTCCATTGTCCAATAGATTCCCTTTTAGTCCATATACTGGTACCCTTTGGATCATAATTCACCACTAAAATAGCCAACCCTTCTATCCCTAGCAATCAGAGTCCAAATGCATATGTAGCTTGTGCATCAAATCATGAATTTCCAAGTTTCTTGCTCAAATAACTGCAATTTGCAGATCTTGAAGTTTAAATTGTACTCTTTTATGATCCAATCTTGTAGTACTATAATAAAATCTATTGAAGATCACTCATGCTTGGTAACCTTTGTTCATTGACTTATCAATGAGAAAACCTTTTCTTTTTCATTGATTTTGTACTAATTTGAAGGCATAGTTCTTGCTTAGGTCTTTCCTGCTGTTGGATGAAGTCTGAGTGAAAATTCATATTTAACCCAGTGAATCTGTCTGAACCCATGTAAAGTCATCAAATAGGCCATTCAATTGGCCAAATTTAACTTTGTAGCACTGTAAACCAATCTTGTTACATGCAGTCTTCATTTTTTTCTTCTTCCCTTTGTAGCATGTGTATTTATCTAAGTTTAGTGTGGAATGGCTCACATAATTTCATCTATACCTGGTTACTTAATATTTGCTGGTCATACAAGGTAGACTGAAGGTAATTAAACGATGGAACAAGCAGGTTTCTTACCTTATCACTCATTCCACCGAGCTTTTAGTTATTCAAGCTCTATAATCTAGAATCTAGATCACACTCATTTGGCAATCTGAAATGTGCTTCAGTAGTTAAATTCTGCAATCGCAAAATTTTCAACTTGTGGATATTTTCTGGTCATACAAAGTAGACTGAAGGTAATTAAATGGTGAAACAAGCAGGTTTCTTACACTACCACTCATTCCACTGAGCTTTTAGTTATTCAAGCTCTATAATCTAGGTCACACTCATTTGGCAATCTGAAATGTGCTTCAGTAGTTAAATTCTGCAATCACAAAATTTTCAACTTGTGGATTCAATAATATATTTTGAACAATGAAAACTGTTAATATAACATATGGTGATTATGTAAATATATTACTAATATATTATATATCCATTTACCTGCAAAAAAGACATTTGAAATCTGGTCTTATTTTTTCCACTTGCTGCCAATCTACAATTTGTAATCTATAGAGAATGTTCAGTTCATCCTTGTCTTGCATGTTAGGAAAGCATTAATAAAATGCACATGCAAAATTTCCAGGCTTGACTCAACATGTGTTACTACTGGTTCTTCACCTGCCTAAAAGAATCCATGTGACATGTTTTGTTTACTAATTCTAGTTTTGTGTTTTTTTTGCGTTTTTTCTCATATAAAGATAATATCAATATCTTGGCTTATTGGTCCTACAATATTTAGTGGTTAAGTGTATTTAAATATTCAAATCCTGTTAGTTTTACTCCATTGTGGTTCTACCACTGAGAGCTTGGATTTTGAATTGGTCAAATGGTTTCTTGTATCATGTGAAGAGTTCTATTAATTGACTTATTTGGGATATTGTTGTTAACACATTAAATGGTTTGGTTAGCACATATCTAATCTCCTTTGCCTTCTTTGTTATTCAATTCTTTTCATTTTTATGCAGTTTAAGTGACCGAAAGCCCGTTGAGAATGAAGATGAACTTGTGGTCATGTTGGTTCCCGACTACCAGATGTTAGAATATGTGGAGAGAATTGCATCTACTCTCTCAGATGATCCAGTAACTACTTGACCTCCCTATTCTCTTGTTTAAATTTTTTGTAAGCATGTATTAATTGTTTCTGAAAGCAATATTAAACTTGTAATAGTGCTATTCTTTTCTCCAAGTATGCTCATACAAGAAAAGGAGTGTGGAGATATCGCTTGAATTTCAGTGTCTATGCTACCACTAGTTTATTAGGAGAGAATCAAAGATCATATCCTGATTAGGGAAAGCAGAATACAACAAAAATAGCATCAACTCCATCCCCCCCTCCCCCCTCCCCCACAAGTTCTATCTCACACAAACTGAACTCTTCCATGCAGACCAGATAGTTTGACACTTGTATGTTCTTCCATGTCTTGTCCATAAAAGTACTCTCTTCTACAGTTTTCAGGATAGGAAGGATGCTTTTCCTCACACTGCATTCCTGATTATTATCTTATTAGCCAAGGCCTCTCATCATGTGGAATCCACGCCTTGTTAGTGAAGATGTAGGAGTCGGATTCAATGTGAGAAAACTGCGCCGCTACTTTTTAAGGTAGTTTTACTTTTTCACCTTGTTCTTTTGCATGCATAATTATAGCTCATATTTGTCATCTGTGAATTGATATGGATAACCACTAAAGTTATTAGATACTGAAAGGTAAGTACCCTATTTACAAATATGAATCAGAAATATATGGATAACTGGGACCAACATTGGGTATTGGGTAGCAAGGGCAACTCGGACATTTTCTTTGTACTATAATATTCTTTTTTACAACTTAATAAGGTCTTCCAAGTTACCAATCAAACAAACTATGAATCAGAGATGTTGTTTCATATATGGGATTGAATGTAATGTTATTAAGGTAAAAACCTGACCTGGTAAGGGGATATGTATGCGAATCAGTTTGGCTTAGATATGCTTGTATTTTAGACAAATTATGGATAACTACCCTCCATAACTACTTTATCCATGGTTTAGTCCTTTTATCTCAAATTGGACCTAAACTCAAGGTCGAGTTTAATATAATTTGTTTGAAGAGGTGAGTCTTTTGACCAAAGGGCTAATGTCCTTCAAACCTGCACGAGATAATTTGCCTATCTGTGCTACTCAATGCTTTTGTTTTAGCTTTTCTTGGCCAGGCTACTATAACTTTACATTATCTATTTTGCAGCACTTTTACAGTAGTATACTCGATGAGACCTTTACCATCTGGTGCAGTATTTAGATGCTATCCAGGGTAAGAAGGAATTTATCACTTTTATATTCAAAATATTTCAGTATCTCCTCCATATGTTTAATTTTCAGTTTTTCTGCATCTAATTCCCATCTGTTAATCCCTTTGCTAGATTGTGGAAGGTGTTCTACGATGATAAGGATAGACCAAATCGATATTTACTTGCTAAAGAACAAATTAGCCGTCCTGATGCAGAAGAACTTGAGGTTAGTTGCTGTAGTATCATTTTTCAACTTATGGGTAACAATGTGGATAATTGAACGGAAGGCTTGCATAATTTATATGAAGAACAAATTTAATTAGAACCTAGAAACTATGCAGTGCGAGTAGATCCCAACATTTGATGGTCTACCCATATATGCTTAATCAAGAAATTTGCCTGATCAGATGATCATCTCCATCCAATCAATGACCTACTAATTAGTTATTTATGTAGGTCCAAGGACAGTGATGGTTTGATCTATACACTGTCTCAAGCATCGTTTAGGGTGTCAAATGGAACAGATTTAAACTTTAAAGTACAGCATTGCAAAATTGCTCAAAATAACACTTGAGATAGTGTATTTGCTCCATCTTACCTGTTTGGACCTTTTATTTATTTACTTGTTTATTTATTTATTATAATTCTTTCTAGACCTTTTCCACGACTGCTCAAGGGAGTGCCACTCACCTGCATCCAAGTGAATGCTCTTACTAGCTTAAATGCTATTAGTAATTGGGTACTAGTGACTCGATCACTGTGAATAAGAGTTCTGATAGATTCCCTAGTCATGGATTCTCATATTTATGCAGATAATATTTGGGGATGTAGATGACAAGTCGGAGAAGGGCCCTTCTTTGCTGGCTAAAGCATCAAGTATTTTTACTTCACTAAATCGTTTCATGAAAGCAATCTCAAAGTGATATCTTTTTTTTTTTGTATCATTTTTTTAGTGTAAATCTCAACACAAAAATGCATATCATTTCCAGGTTCCATAGACTATTTTGTATTCTTCAGTAATGTTTATTCCATGTGTCAAACAATGTAAATTCCTTGTGTTGTGCCTATACGTAACCTCTGTTGACTTAGTTTGTTCAAATTGTGGAAAATAAAATAAGTATGCTGTGCCTAGAGCAGCATACACTGAGCAAAAGTAGCAGATAGATCATCTATTGGGTTCAAGGATGGGTGCTGTGCCTAGAGCAGGGAAAAGGAAAGAGCTACACTGTGTGGATAAAACTTCTTGTGTTGTGCATATTCAGGCAGGCCCAAGCGCCACTGGACTAGGTAGAACCAATTCTGAACTGATAATAACTGGGACAATATATCAGGAACTAGAATTGATATATTGGTACCAGATCCTGGAACCAGAACCACATAAATTCACCACTTGAATGCTTTCCACTTTACTAGTTATAACTAGGTAGGATTCATGACACATCTCCTACATTGTCTTTTCATGGATCCAATCTTGTCTCTAGGGTGAAGAAATCCAAGAGTTGCATATACACATACTCGTTTTCTGTTAGCATTCTCTTTAGTCAGGGCCAAGGTTAGAAATTTTGATATGTATTGGGCCGTATCGGCGATATGTATCATTTGGGGGCCTTCCCGATACGCCCCTACAGGAGTGTTTTGGGCCAGTGAGTGGTTCAGGGGGTAGACCGGCCTTAAACTGGCCCCTCTGAATCAGATTAAAAAATAAATAAATAATAAAAAAACAAGGAAAACATTATCGATACAGGCCAATACACCCTATTGGCGTATCGCCCTGTATCGATATTTTGAACGGTGTTGCTGAATTTTAATCCTGTGGACTATTGACCCGAATAACGTTCTCCAATTTTCTCCCATTAAGCAGGCACCTACTACATTTTTAATGGCTTGTTCTTATAAATTGTAATTCACCAACGATAGAATATAGCCTAAGCCTAGCTTGCACCGTGTAGTTTGATACGTCTTACTTGAAAGCTTTATAATGATAGACCAGATTATCTTCCCCTTTGGGAATTGAGTTTTTACACAGAGGCTTCTGGCTTTCAAGGTGGGCTCTACAATATACATTGGTGAAAAATTCAGAGAATCCAAATCAACTGTCAGGCAGTCATTTTTGGTCTGTCAGCTTTAAGAAAACTTTGGCTGTTAGGTTCCAATGGACCCTTTTTGGGCATGACATGTGACCATAGGTGTGCTAGGGATCTGCTACCAACATAACACTATCAATCCTGTCCCAACAGGCCACTGCAGCCACACATTGGAAACATCTTGTTATTCATGGGAAGGTGATCAGATCAGCTGCCCACAGAGCACATTCCACAGCCCATCTTCTGAGGTGCCTGTGGGGCGCGTTATGTGGGCAGCCAATCCCATCTCGATGGGAAGATGTTTCCATGTATGGCTGCAATAGTTGGTTGAAACATTATTGGCACCATGTGTTGGTAGTTGATACAAACTTCATAGGTGTTGGGTAAAACAACAAGTGTTCTCAATATTCTTTTGATAAAAAAGACAAGATTGAATGTGTTGATGTGTCATGCGGAAAAAGCACCCCAACCTTCCAGGCGTTTGGCTCTCAACAGCCAAAGTTTTTTTTTTTTTCCCTGTTTTAACCTCTTAAAATAACACTATCCAGACTATGGAGTGCCTCAAAACCATGGTTTTGAAACTGGACCGGATGGTTGGACTGATTGACCTGGGAACTGGTGAGGTAACTGTTCCGTTTCACCCTATAACTGCTTTTTGGCCAAAAATCATTGATTTGACCAGTAACCCAATGAACTAGGCAGTTGAACTGTTGACCCATCAACCCAGACAACAGTTTTTGGATGTTTTTTATTTTATTATTTTTAGATCAAAATGGGCCATCCATTTAAACCGAATGGTTGGACTGTTTGACCTGAGAACCAGTCCCTAGAACGGTTCTATGTCCGATTCAGTTTTTAAAACCTTGCTCAAAACAGCCCTCTTAAATGGACGAAAAAAAAATCCGAAAAATCTAAATATGCTATCATTCAGCCAAAAAAAAAATGGCTTTCTCAACATCTACGGAGGAAATGCGCTCTTTAATTGGCTTTCTCAAAAAATTGGCTTTCTCAGCATCCACATGTACCCGAGCCTCAACCCTTTATTCTACTACTTTAAATACAAATCCGATATCAGCTAAAAATTATCCCACTACATATGCATTCTCCTATGGGATTATGACCTTATCCACCTCCTGTATAAATGGGCATCATTCTGACCCGAGACATTTTTTATCTTTAAATAGAATGTTGCTTAAGCTTACTTTAGAAGCAGTACAAAAGCAAATATATACAGTACAAATACATATAAAATAATATAAAATATAAGATTTTGCATTCTACATATTTGTATTTATATTCCTTCCAAACTGAGTCTTATTGATTATTATTATTATTATTATTATTATTATTATTATTATTATTATTATTATATTTAAACATTTTTTTTGGTATTACATAGTACTGGTACACATCATAGGGGACTCGGAGGGACAAAGCAGGATACATGACGCCTACTGCTCATAGCACACAAAGCCTGCAGTTTCACGGCTTTGTCCTCATGTCTCTTGTTTTTTCAAGGGGACATAGAGTGGTCATCTCAACTACTATGTCATCACTAGGAATGATCATGGACGGCTGAGGCCGGCCCATAATGGTATAGAGAGGAGTAAATGGTATTGCTCATAATTTAGCATAGTTTGTTTTGTCTTGTTATCCCAACCCGCAAATCCGTTCCAATTCAACCCAAAAAAATAAGGTAAAAACAGGGTTAGGGCCTCATATTTAGCTATCTAAATGTGAGAAACTGAGAATAACTCAACCCAACCCAATCCAAAAAAAAAAAAAAAAACTGGGTTGGGTTGGGTTGAGTCATGGTTCAACCCGCTGACTCGATTATCAGGTCTAAATTGGGCTATTTATGCATTGTTAGATGTTTCCACTCTTTAATGTTTTTTATTTAGTCTTTAGTCTTTATTGTTTACTCTTTGAATTGTTAAATGTACAAGGTTTTTATTTTATATTTAGAATTTTAAGATTAATTCCTCTAATTTTGATATTTTTCATGTATTTTTCTTTATTTTTTTAAGTTCCAGTTATTTTTTGGGATGGCCCGAATTGGCCCAAGGGTCAACTCTAACCTGAACATTTAGGGTTAGGGTCTAGCATTTGACAACCCAACCCAAAATCAAACCGAAGTGTCTTTACTCAATCCGAACCTGACCCACTCAACCCAATTGCCAGGTCTACTTGTAATTGAATGACAACGGGGCAGGTTTGGGGTGGAGACCATATTCTCCATTCTGATCTTGATTTTGAAATAAATCCTCATTCTCAACCCCAATCTACACCAAGAATAGAAATGATCTTTCATCCCTGATCCTTGATAGAGACAGGCTCCTCATTGGGGACCCAAATCACCACAATTTTTAAATTAAAGTTATTCTTAAAAAATAGACTTATTTAAAATAAGAGAAGTTTTAAAATATAAAAATATTTTAAATATATATTGATATAAATAATACAAATAGCATCATAAATAATATAAATAAGATACCCATTGAGGGCGGGGAAAATTGCCATCCCTAACTCTTAGTCTTCTGCCCTTCATTTCCTCATTTGGCTTGTGAATTGGTTCTTGAAACAGAGCTTATGGCCATTCGGATGGGCCTAGAAGTTGGCAGTTCTTTGGGTTTACATCATATTTCAGTGAAGTCCAACTCATAGGAAACCATTCGGCTTAGCTAAAATGACGCCCCTCCTTTCCACCCATTTCTTTGAATCCTCAATGATATTCGACTTCAAAAGAGAAGAAAAAACCAGATAGAGCATTGTTATGGCAATGTTATGGCTTGATTTGCTTCACGGAATTGTGGTATACATGATGAAAGGTGATGCTGGAGTTGAAGAGGAGACAAGCACTTAGACATTCTTCAATGATGTTCTCCAATCTCCTCGGGGGCATCACAATCTTCCTCAAGCAATCTAATGACGAGCTTGGAGTCACCTTTAATCATGATCGGGTAATCCTTGAAGTTGGTGGCAATGTTATGGCTTCCCAAGCCGCCCAAGCTTTAGCTATATTGATAGTAAAACCAACGCTATAGGTAGGAGGTGTTCATCCGATCAGTTCGGAAATAGAACCTAACCGACATTTTGGTTAGATCATTTTTATGAACCGAACTAGATTTGAAACAGAGTTGAATTTAAATCGGTCCTGTTCGGTTTTAATTCAGTTAATTTGATTAGTAAAATATAAATGTATTTTATATTTATATTAATAATTATTATTAAAATATATCAATATTTATAATTAAGTACATACTAGTAAGTGCGCATGTGCTTTGCATCAGTAATTTTTTTATGTTGATGTAGTACTTTGTATTTTCTACATTTTTTTTTATTTCTAGATAACTATCAGATTTAGATTTGGTTCCTTTAATTATTATTTCATGTCATATATATTTATACTTAATTTTTATGATTGTAAATTTTGTTCTCTTGAATGGGAGGAAAATTTACATTTACAATGGTGTATGTCAAGGTGATGGTAAGTTTCTTTTTGATTGGTTGAATTTTAATGGAAGGATGATGTGGCATCTATCCACATAAATGGATTTTGTGGTTGAACAATGACTCTTACAATATTAAATGCCTCAATTATGGTGTTTTGTCAAAGTACACATTTATCCTCAATAAATTCAGTGATTAAGGGGTAATTTATGGCTGATTAAAATTCCAGAAAATTACAATATTAAATGTCTTAATTATTGTGTTTTATCCAAGTACTCATTTATCCCTAAGAGACCATCAGAAGAATAATAGCAAGCTTTACCTTGAAATTTTGTCATTTCTATTTGTTCAAATAAATCAAAGAATAATAGCAAGCTTTTCCTTGAAAGAGACCATCAGAAGAATTCGGCCACTTAGAAATAGTCGAATCATTACCATTTGGAACTGGGAGATTTATATTTACTATTGACCAATTTTTTTTTGGATAAATTACAATTAAGGAATAAATGATCTACATTCTCCTCTTCACCACAATGGTCACAATTAACAATAAG